TGATTCAGGATGGAGGTTTGATGTTTGGCTCGATACCACGGGAGTGAATTCTGACCAGAATACCGGTTGCCAAAAATCCCACGACAAACAAAATACCGACAGGGTAAGACCCCTGACGGTCGAAATCCAGACAGCCAAAATCCCGACGGTTTGAAAACACCAACGCTCCAAAATCTCGACAGGCAAAATCCCGGCAGCCACACTCTGACAGGCCGAAATACCGACAACCAAAATGCCGATGTTCGGGATTTGGCATTCCCTCATCATGATCGTGAATCGTGAATCAGCTTTTCCCATCGCCCTTGTGACTGTGCGGCGGAGCTGTCGCATTATCAGGGGGGGGACATTATTGTTCAAAACATACAGAAATTATCGATTTTTCGACAAAAAAGCTGTTTCGACCGAAACGTCACCATTTATAGAGTTTTTACGATAGTTTTTGCACGCGAAATATGGTTAAATTTATTAAAAGCTCTATTAAAACATTACTAATTATTAACACACTACATTACTTACATTACCGTAATTTTCGGGTTGGTAGGAAAAATTTGCCCCTTCCCCCTAGATAATGCAAAAGTTCCGCAACGGCTGTTTCACACCCGGGTGCCAACCAACCCCAGCGATCACTCACCGGCTCCCCAAATCAAAGGCGGTCCCCCCAGGTCGCGTTGTTCGCGCACCGACCGTAAACACCAATTGGTACCGCTAAATCGTGAGTGTGTGCTGGCTGGCTAGGTACAGCCCCCACCTTTATGCCCAGCGGCCACGGGGGCGATTTATGGCCGATCGGCTGGCTTTAGCAGCGCCGGCGATGCAGGGCCAGCAATTTGTGAGACGACGGTGTGAAAGAATTTTCTGTGCGTATTTAGCAGAAGTATGACATTAAATTAGTGCGTTCTTTCGCATTAACGGGGGGTGTTCATCGAGGGACCCATCTTTTCCTATAAGTCCGGGAATGTCTAATAACATAATATTAAGGGTTTTGATAGTGTTTTTAGCAAAACACAACCAAACAATCTTTACAAAATGCCGAACTTTGTTGAATTTCAATATTCCGACATTTTTTTCATATGTAGATTTTGTGGGTTTGTCCGTTCATTGACAACCCTCCTTTTGCCGGAAATGGCTGAGTAAAGTGGGGGTTGGGTATTGGTTGCCTAGTGTATTTGCCATTCCCCTCTACAATATGTATGGGCCACGGCTGGATGGCCAAACATGGACCCGCAGGTTCCGGCAACTGACCATAATTTACGGATTCAAAGGCACTAAAACGTTTTTCGGAACATCGAAAATTCTATCCTTCTGTCAAAAAATTGGCTTTTTTATTGGTACTTTTTGAAATTGTAGCTCAGTATTTGGATTCTTTCGCGTTATCGGGGGGAGCTAATTTTCTGTCTTGAAATCTATAGTAGCGTAATAACAAGTTTTGTGAATAAAAGAACCGAATTTTCTGCATTTTGGGCATGTTATAAATGTGATATTTGTGTATATTCTGTTAATGCACGGCTGGGAAACCCGTAGGCAGTCCCTTATATTTGTCATGGGCCCCAGGTGCGGGTTAGTCTCAATTTCCGGGGGTCCCCGGCCGAATGCTGCCCCCCAATCGGATTACCCCGGGCCACGGCCGAGTGACCACCGCTTAGACTGGCTAATGTTTACCGCTCTCCCACTATGGCCCCATGTGGAAACCCAGCGATTTGCATCTTTTCAATTTTTCACGAATTTACGGCGCGTTCCGCGTCGCTGACCACTGGGTGAGGTGTATGGAAGGGACCAGATCATCTTTAAAATGCCGAAAATCAGAAAAATCACAATGCCGAAAAGCTGATGTGGAAAACCAGAAGTCCAAATTTACGATAGCAACGCTCCCGGAACTTAGAAAACAATTGGATTGCAATTTTCGTCGGAAAAAAGAAGTTTGTTGTATTTTTAAGATAATTTTGTACAGATTTTACGTTTATGCATAGTAAAACCAGTTTAAAGGGATGCCGACGGCATAGTCAATCGGTTACGCGCGGAAAAGAAAATGTCTCTGCGCCTCTCCCCTGGGCGCGCTCTCTCCCCTGTTGGCTACTTGCCAATTTGTTGCTGAGGAGGGATCGACACATGCCGTCGGCAGCCCTTTAAAAACACTTGCTATATTTATATAAGAAGCAAAAAAAGGAAAAAAGAACTTGAGAAAAGAGAGCTGATCCCCCGATAATGGAAAAGATCCATTTTTGGTGCTATATCCGATGGTTTACTCGAATAACAAAAAGCAGGCAGTATCAGGGGTAGGTTGGTTTTCGCTCCCCCCCCCCGTTAAGCAACTTTTACCGAGCACTGACTTTCCACTTGCTCCTTATTGACACCCCCGAAAAGGGGGCCACACAGCCCAGAGTGCCGCCACCACCCGCCCCCCATTGTCGATGTATGGGATATCCGAATACTAATTGCACGTCCTACCCACACATATACAAATGGACACATGGATGGAGAGAGGAAGACGGAAAGACACACAGACACACAGACAGACAAACAGCCCCTTGGGCGGAGAACCAAAGGCGATTCAAGGGTGCACCCCCACCACTTTTGGCCACGCCCATTTCATTGGCTAGGTGGGGTTTGGGAGGCCCGATTCCGAGGGGTGAGCATGAGATTGCTAGCTTCCGTCACGTAAAAATGGATTTACAGCTCACAAAGCCTAATTCGAAATTTTAATGCATTTTCAAGGTCTCCAATTTCAATCTCCCCACCCTCCGAAATGATTAAATTTTTTAGCTCCGGATATAGTCTAGCTTTTTACCCCCTTACGTTTTTGGCCATTTTCGTTTTCTAAAACTTTTGTAGCACTTCTCAGTTTTGAAAAGATAGCTACAGCTTGAGAGTTAATAAAATTTATATCGAAAAACGGGAGAACGTCTATGAACTGCCGCTTTGCCGGCAAACTGACTACGCGTCGCTCCGAACCACACCCGTTCTTTCTGCACGCATTACCAGTTCTCGTTTCTGGATTTTTGACATGCCGAGGTAGTGCCTTAAAAAGCTATCTAGGCCTTGCATTCCGAATCGGGCATTTCAGCTCCTGGCAAGAACGTGAATAACCGTCGTTGTCTTTTCCTATTTTCTATCCTTAATATACTTATATACCTCGACCGACCGATCGACCGATTACCTCGACTTTATATATCTCGAATCTACGCTTCAAATTCTAAATTTTAAATTTTGGACGAAAGGGCCCTCGGCCCGAATATTGCGAAAACCTGCTTTTACCCTTTCCGGTCGTTTCTACCGTCATGCCAGCTTTTCCCAATCATGAAGCGCGTGCCCGTTTCCGGTCGAAGCCTCTCATAGCGCCCTACCCATCCGGGCAACAGCAACATTTCGGAGGGGCTGAAAAACGGCCGGGGTTTTGCGTGAATCGATGGGTCCGGGTGGGGATTGGCGGGGTGGCTGGAGGGGGCGGGGCTTCACGCTTGGACCCGGGCCCCGCCCGCATCTACCTCGATTTGTGAAATACACCACCTCGCATCGAAATATCGATTTTTGGGTGCGCTAGGGTTTTATCGGGGTGGGGTGACCCACATCGAGCATTTAATTCGGAAATTTTTAAGGGAAGGAGAGGTATTTTTAATGGAAAATGATGCTAAACTCAAGATGTCGAAGAAGCGTTTAAAAAAAACAATATTACGGGTTTAAAAGTAATTTTAATTTTTTTCTCTATTTAGACATGAAAAATGCCGAAAATTACGGTTTTATCAGGTCGACGGGCTTTTTGAAGATATTTCAAAATCTATAAAAATTTGGGAGTAGCTATTTTAAGCGTATTTTTTCTGGAATTTCCTTGGCCATCTACAGCTTCCTGGACCCCATTTTCGCCGTTTTCTAGAATTATATGATTCCTCCGATGTTTCCCAGGCTGTATATACCTCTATCAAACCCTGTTGACCCCCACCAGCTCGTTATCAACGTTGTTAGCTCATTTTTCGGGTACACAGTAGCCTGGGCTGTTTTATGTCCTCATCTCCGCACCTGTATTTATTTGCGTTGCAGCTAGGCGTACGGCCTATTTTTCAGGGCGTTCAGCGAGTTCAACAAGGCCGAAGGGAGCGGTAGAAGAACAAGTAGAACAACAAAAAAGGCCTCGCCGTCATGTTCTGTGAGTTATTTTTGTTTTCTTTGGCGTTACGGTGTACATTAGCTGTGAGATTTTTTCCACTTCATTCCTGCCTTTCGATACCTTTGCCTGGTTTTGAAAAATCGATAATTCTTAGCGTTTAATTCCAGATTTCTAGAATTTCGAAATTTCCAAATTTTTTTGCACGAAATTCACAAAGTCCGAATCAGTTTTTCGGGAATTCCAGTCATAATCCCGACAGCCAAAACACCGACAGCAATAATACCGACAGCCGTAATCCCGACATGCAAAAATACCGACATATTCTTGGCGCAATTCTGAATGCCACTTCCTCCTAGACATCTTTGCATGTCGGGATTATGACGGTCGCAATTTTTTTGTCGGGATTTTTCCCTTATTTGGGAGAATTTGAGGATTTTTTGATGGGTTTTGGAATCTTCGAGTTTCGACATATGTCGGCATTATCGGTTTCGACGTTCGTTTATCGGAAAATTCAACTCGATCATGTTAAATTTTGCCTTTTCTAACCCAGCCGGGACCATTTCCCAATCCACGACATCTGAATCACATCTCATGTTTCTCACCTGTGGCTCTTCATCCCTTCGCTCATGCTCATAGCTGTGACTCACTTGGCAGGCCATCTCCCCCCTGTTGCAACCACTCCCCCCCTCGGGCCATCGATCCGGCTACCGTAGTAGGGGGCATTTGATGGGTTAGCGAGGAGAGGCGAGGTCTCCCCCCAGAAAACACTCTCCCCCAAACAACCCACCATCGATTCCCGCCGGGGCCAAGATAAAGCGGAAAAGGGGGGACCCGAGGGCGCCAGCTGCATGCTTGGCGCTTCCACGGGTTCGAGGCGTAAAATTTTTTGGTGGCTTCTGCTATGGGTGAGACGGCGGTGGTGGCTGAAGGTAATTTTTAGAGGGATCAGGAAGGCCCAGGAATAATGGCATAAAACGGATTTTAGTTCTAAAATTAGGATAGATCTCCTCTGGGTTCTCCCTGTCCATTTTTTTGCATTAGCATTTCCGGTTGGCTCGTTGATCTCCATGCCTTGAGGACGCCTTTAAAAAGCGTGTTGTCAGTTAGTTTGACTCCGCCCAGATTCGCTCAGCGTAATTAGGTGTAAACGTAGTGAGCATCCCTTGGCGGCACCGTTAAAGCATACTGTCAAGCAAGAGCTACGCGAGCGCCTATGTACACCCGAGCTTCTTGATTCGACTTTTGGTCTTTCAGCGCAACCACGAAATTTCCAAGCGACAAAAAAACGTGAAGCATCTGAAATTTTTTTTTTTGGGGAAATCGCAGGAATTACATGCCGAATTACATGTCCTTGGCCCCGATGTTTCATTTTGTCGACATTTTAATACGCTGAAATCTCAATTTTCGGTAGCTTTGTACTGAATCAATGCCGACAAAAGTAATTACGATATACCGATAGAAAATGGTTTTTTCGTCAAGCTACAACTACTGCCGGTTCCCCTCCTAGCCCGCCCCAATAAGCTCTTCCTCCTCCCAAAAGCTTCACCCTCCCCGTTGAGAGCCCAGGTGTGACTGTTGTGTAGCCATCAATTATTCCAATTATGCGCTGCCCTCTCCATCGCGCCAGCCGTTGCCCTCCTGGGAGATGAGCAGCAGCCAATGGTGGTGGCGGGGAGGGGGAGATAATCGTTCATCTCCCCTTTGGGCGTAAAGTTGTAATAAAGGCCCCCATTCTCTTCCCCCAGTCTCCACGCTAGCCAGACCATTAATCGAGGCGAGCTCATCCATTTCCTCCCACTCCCTTGGGGGTATTGGCCAATTCTGGGGTGTTGTTTAACGGGGAGCACCATCAATCTGCGGGGTGGAACTCGCGCACAACGTGCTCGCCAGGCGTCGACAGGTGTTGATCGTTTTCTGAGGGCAATCTAGAGCTAGAGAAAACTATTTAGACAACTAAAATGTGCCTAAAATTTCAATTCGGCTAGAAAAATCTACATACTTGTATATTATTTTAAAAAACGTTTGTAACGTCCTTAGGTATTTTTAGTACAATTTAACTGTATTAAAAGTTGACAATATCTAAAAATTCGACCAAATTCTCTAGAAATCTGAAATTTTGGCTAAAAACCTCGATGTTTTTGTAGCTTTATATGAAAGTTGTAACGTACTTACTGCTGGGCATAACAAAACCCTTTTGGAGCTTTTGCATTATCCGGTGTTTTTAATAAAATTTAGTTGTTTTTAAAGTTGACATACAAAAAAAAACTTAGAAAAACTTATTAGTTGAAATTTTAGTCGAAAATCGGTCTTTTCAGTCAAAGAAATAGATATCTTTTAATCAAGTTTTTGTAAGTTGTTAGGCTTATGTGTAGTAATAACAGCGTAGAAACACTACTTCTGAAAGCGGAAAAACGGAATAACAAAATCCCCCCGTTAACAGCCCAGTACCAAAAACTAACCCCTTTCCACCCCCTCAACAAGAAGTCCCATAAAACAAGGCAATGATCTCGGGTTTTTTCTCCGGCACTTTCCAGTTGATGATCGCCATTTCGGGGGTGGAGAAAACAGTGGATGGGGAGGGATGGCCCCCGCTGTGATTGGGTTGCCAGAATCATCCCGGAAAACAGTTGAGGCAACATTCCGCTCAACACCCGGCTCTCCCCAGCGATGAGCCACTGTTTTGCCTTTCTATTCCCGGGCGACAAGTATCAGCAGGGTACGGTAGTTTCCGCTTCATCGGCCAAAACGGGGGAGGGGCTAATTGCATTAGTGAGTGATACTGGCTGGGTGATTAGTCATTTTCTGTTTGGATTTCGTGACGTAATGAATATCGAAATAAGGAAGCCGAAAACTGGGTTCTAGAGCAATTAAATTAACACAATCCGCAGTGGAATTTCCGGTTTTAAGCAATTTTTGGTTCTTAAGCATTATCGGGGGGAGGCTTTTTCTTGGGTTGGAAATTTCGAATATAAATAGAGGAGGAAGTGTTTCTAAAGTATTGTTTCTATTCCTAAACGTAAAAAAGTTACAAATTTTCTCCGAAAAAAAAATATAGATTTTTCGACCAAAATTTTGAATTTTGAAAATTTGTTTAAAGTTTTTAGATCCTTTTTTCACCTGAAACATAGCTAAATTTGACTATAAATAATATAAAAATACTTCTGGGTAAAATTCGACCCCCCGTGATATTGCAAAAGCATCCAATTTTCGAATTGGTGCACCTCAGGGCTAGTCAAATTCCAGTCCGTTCCCAGACTTTTAACGGTCGCATTGTTGCGTAATCAGCGCGCGGCGCAAAAACGGCGCCGACCCCGCGCTGAATCATCGGCTTGCACAAAAGTCGCGCCGTTACATAAAACCCCGCTCATTCCACCCTCATCCCCCGATTCTATTGTATTATTTCTACTGCCCCGTCCGACGATGGAGTGGCCTAAGCGACGTGGGTTTTTGCGCGCTGGATTTCACCCCGGGCTCTAGGGACCGAAATTTGTGTAAAAACGCCAATTTTTTATCAAATTAGCGTTATAAAAATTGTTTTTAGTAAAATTTAACTGTATTTGAAGCGGAAAAAATATTCAAAATCATCAAAAAAATTTTGAAATTTCGAAATTCTTGTTGAAAAATAGAAATAGAACTGATTTGTTTAAATTTCTTTTCTAGAAATTTGTACAGAGTTTGCGTTTATTAATAGTGGAAAAAACGGTGTAGAAACATTTCTTCTATTTAAATCAGAAGAATTGGATCCTTAGAAAAAAGCCCCCCCATCGATGATGCAAAAGAACCACCCAAAAAAATCGATTTGCTTGTTAGGTAGTAAACGCTTTCGGTCGTTTTTACAATGCCTCTAGACTCTCTAGAGCTCTAGCTAATTGCCAGCCTCTAAATCCAAGACCCCCCAAGCATCTAAAGTTAGTGGGCGGGGATGTCCTTGACGACGACCCATTATGTGGAAGTGAGCCGTGTGTGTGTGGATTGTCGCGTACTCTACTTTCTCCCTCGAAAACCCGGCCGGGGGATAGAATATGAAAAGGGCCAGGTGGCTGATGTGAAAGGCTAGGGCAAAAATGGAGGGTGTAGAAAATAGAAACATTTTCTAGGCTGTCGAAAGGGAATGGAAAAGTTGAAGAGAAATTAAAAACAATCGGTACTGGACTTTTAGCGGTGGGGGGAATATTGCTAGTTTCTTTTGCTAGGAATACATAAAAATAATTGGAAATTTGAAAATTTGTGGATTTGGCTTTTCTTTGATAATTTTTGATAGTTTCTTGGCTAATTAAACTTACTCGAATCGTTTCATAGTTTTATGAGGATTTTTACATCGAAAAACGGTGCAAAATACAAATGTTCTATATTACGCTCTATAGCACGGGCTTAATGGGAAAGCCCCCCCCCCCGCTAACAGTCCAGTCCCAAAAAAATCTGGATAGAATCGGATAATACAACTTTTCAAATCATGATAGGTTTAGGCTGCGTGAAGCCCCAAAGCAACGCCCTCCCAAATGACATGCTGCCCATCGCGCAACGCGTCAAAAATGAGCCCCTTCTCAGCACAAACTCCACAAATAAGGTAAAAAAACCTGGTAACACTTTTAAATCGATTCTCCTAGGATCTGCACTCGAACCTCGTCGACCTCGAGGAAATTGTGATGAACTGGTCGCGCGTCGTGTTCAACGCCACCAAGAGCAAACAGGAGGCAAAGATCAAGAAGAAGTATCTCTCGGTACGCTATGAACTCGGCACCTCTTATCAACTATAATAAAAAAGTAGGGGTGTCTGTCCGGTCCGTCCGTCATGTCCCGGATTCAACTCGAAGGGGAAAGGAGCTAGAGCTTAGCTCTCTTCGGATTCGGATAGAGCATGGTCAGAAACCCCCAAACTGATGAAAAAATTATGAAAAAGTTTTAATTTAAATTATTAAAATTAACTTTGAAAGTGGCGCCTTAATAAAACGAGTGGGGGCCCTCTGTCGGGAGGCCACGCCCTTCCTTCCTCGCCCTCTTCCCCAGGCCCCTTCGCGCCCAGGGGCTTTCTTGAGTGCTTTAATACTTTTAATACTTTTTAATTATGTTAATTTATTATTTAAATCATTTAAAGTATCTAAGTAGTTTTTGAAGGGGATTTCAGCCATGGGGGGTATCTGAAGCCATCAGGAAGGTATTTAGGTAGTTTTTGAAGGGGATTTCAGCCATGGGGGGTATCTGAAGCCATCAGGAAGGTATTTAGGTAGTTTTTGAAGGGGATTTCAGCCATGGGGGTATTGATGGAGGTAGGAAAGGATGTGGTGGAGTGGGACATGTGGGGTAGCCCGAAGGCCAGATGGTTGCAGTCGCGAAGCGACTGTAACCATCTGGTTTTTAGCTAAAACTACTTATTTTAGCTAAAACCCTGGAGTTTTACCTGATTTTTTCCAGTTCAACATCAACTGGACGAAGCTGTTCCAAGAATCGATGGAGCCCGATTATAGCCCTGGCGTCGACAAGACCCTCACGAAGAGAATGGTATGATAATAGCAACTTTTGGCTTGAAATAATCCCCCTTTAGCCCCAAGAAGAAAAGGTACTCTTCAAGACCACATTCACCAACACCACGCAACGCGAACAGGAATATTCCTTCAAGACCGAGCGTACGACACGCTCTACCAGCACGGTTATCGTAGAAAAAGGTAGGTGGGGAAAAGGTTCTGATCCGTTAGCGAGGGTATACCTAACTTTTTGCTAATTTCCGGTAGGCGCCCCTATAAAGAAATAGGAACCATTTTAATATCCCTTTACGCCGTTTTAGCTCTAAAAGATTCTAAAAATTAGTAAGACCATCGAAGACGTATGACTTGTCCTTGAAAAATGTATCTATATAAAAAGCGGTTTGAAAGACTAAGAAATCATTTATGCCAATTTCAGGCGTTTGCCGCGGTGTCCAAATGGAGCTGAAGCTGAAGACGCCGTGCGAGGTGGTCGAGGCAGGAGCCGGGTTCGCGCAGGAGGTCTCGCTAAACCACATTGGCGAGAATTCCGTGGAAGAGGAGCTGACGTGGGGTGTTGATTCGTGTGTCAGGTGGGTGTCTCCACTTTGTATCTTTTTAGAGAATAAAAATTTGGAAAACAAGTAGAAAGCGTTAAAAAGACGCTTAAAATTCACCCAATTCTAGGGTCCCACCCAATTCGGAAACGTGCGCCGAGCTGGTGGTCCTCGAGGAGCAGATGGTCCGAAATTTCAGCATCAGGAATACGCTGTTCGGCAAGGTGCTCGTGACAGGTGGGTCTTCAACTTTGTCAGGGCTTTCCGGCATTAACACAGTCCGAGCAGTCTTTTGGTGCTTTTCGGGTTCTTTTGCAGTATCGGGGGGTGGGGGAGGTGAGGAATTTTTTGTTTGGGAACCAATTTTTGACAATGAATGGCGGGAGTGTTTTTAAACTGCTTTTTACTATACCTAACGTAAAAACTTTACAATGAGTTTCTTTGTTTTTCGCCTTTTTCACAAAGTTTCAAAGTTTTAGGTAGTTTTTCTAGTTAAAATATAGTTTTATTTTACTAATAAAATATTAAGAAAATAGTGGGTTTTAAGTTCCTAGGCATTTCCAAACCGATACAAAAAAATTTGTTTCTCCCCCCCCCCCGACAATGCGAAAGAACCGCTTTTCGGATTGTTTGACTCTAAGAGATAACTCCTTTATAACCGGGACTTCTCCAAGTTTCTAACGCTTTCTTGCGATAAATCCTTCTAAAGTCGCCGTGGCGTCGAGGCCACACGACCCGCATTCGGGGTGGCTGGTAGGGCTGAAGTGTTTCGCGGCCGCACTCGATTCTCACATTCATCAAAGTGCCCGTCTCCGAGTATTGTTATGCAAAACGGGAATGGGGGCCACTCGACACGGCGCGTAAATGCCCATTACCCCCAAGGGTCACACTTGACTCCCAACACCGGGTCGTCGCCGGTGCGGGCAGTTTAGCCGCAATCAAAGGGGTTTAACCTGGTTTTAAAGGGACTGCACACTAAAATCCATAAATGGAAGTGCAAAAAGCTATCGAAAAACTTCACATTTGGAAATCTTGTCGAAAATCAATCATTTTGGCCAAAAAACGTTTATTTTGTATCTTTAAAAAATGTTCTACAGTTTTACGCTTAAGAATAGCAAAAACAGTTTAAAAGCATGGGTAGTTGCCAAGCCAAGCTCTCTTTAGGTAGTTGAAATTTGAAGGCAAGGAAAATCTTGCCCCCCGCCCGTTAATGCGAAAGCGCCCCATAAGTTGATCGTTCTTTCTTAAAAACTATCAAAAAAACGATTTTTCAGTGACAAACCTCAAAGAAAACAACTCGCTGATCACGATCCTCGAGGGCAACATCGTCGATATCATCCGCGGCATGGGTGACCACGGCGCCAAGGGGTTCACCCTCGACGGCCATGTAAGTTATGGAAAAAAACTGCTAAACCCAGAAAACCAAAAAATCTTCGCTCTTTTGCACATATGGTTTTTACATCACCCCAAACTGGCTAGCGGGGCCACCTCAAAAGCCGTAGCGGAAATGGGGACTCGCCCATTTGGTGCGGGCACCATCTGGCGTCCGCCGTCGGGACTGAACAAAGAAACCGACGGATGTCTCTTCTCGAATACGAAATCGTGCATAAAATCCCGGGTGTGGCAGATGCTCCGCTAAATCGCGCGTCTCATAGTGCGCCGGAAAATCCATTCAGGGACCATATTCAAACATTTAGACGGTCCTCTACGACACGAAGGGGCAGTGCATCTTCAGATATGGTGTCGAGCAGAAGGTGAAGATCAACGAGATGGCCATCCGGTCTTATAAATAACCCATTTCTCACACGCCCATTATCTAACACCTCACAAATACTGGTCCACACTCGCCCAAACCTTTAAATTTTTCTAAAAAATAACTGCCCAAGACTCCCTCCGGTCAGAGTTCCGCTTGTGATACGAGATGCTCTCCACGATTTGAAAATCTCAAAGCCCTTTATTTTTTGGATAAAAAATTACAAATAATGTCATCACACACGTATTCTGCATCCAATTCAGAGCGGGGAATGGCGGAAACGTTGAAAATTTCGCAAATCTTTTCCATAAACTCAGCTTGTGCTTGTACGGGCTCGCCAATATCGCGCTTCTCAAAGATGCAGATGATCGTCGTGGCGGGTGAAATCGTTGAAATGAGTGCGAGTAGCGGAGGCACGCTAAAATATGGAAAATTCAATAATAGAAATAAAAAAAAAAACTATATACCTTGACAGGTAGTAAACACAATCGATCATGAAAACGTAGTCAAAATCGCTGAGCGAAGTGTCTGGCGAATTCCAGTCAAGCTCTCGACACTAAATCGGATTGAATTAGTTAGAAACATCAAAGGACGAAGGATTTATTATCATAATTTTGAAATTCATAGTCGCAAAATTTTAGAAGGTCGGAATTTCGCCATTATGCAATCTAGAAATTAAAAACTTTTGAACGACCTTTTGAAAGTAACCGGGAAGAAAGCGATGCAAAGAAGCGCTAGCCTCACCTCAAATGAGCCGTCCTTCAGCAAATGCTCGTTAATTTTCCAATTCTGCTCAATTAACGGCAATCGCTCGCGTAAGTCGGTGCATACCTAGATGTGATTAGTTTCATAAAACGAAATCCACCAACAACATTGGCGCCAATGGACGATAAAGCCAAGCCACACGCTCCGGTACCCGCGCCAAGCTCGAGGACCTGCAACGGAATTTGCAACAAGAATTAGGCGCTAACCCGCTTTCCAGCAAATCTGGATCGATTCTTGTCGATGTAAGCGATTGCCACCAGCGCGCTGTCCCAGATCACGCCGCCAACGTCTGTGTCTAATTCCTAAAAAGATTGTACGAACTCAAATCCGATACCATACCTGTGCTATTTTCAAGGGAGCGTCTCCGGCGACGTCGATTTCACGATAGTAGATGCCAGACATCACTAGAATAGAAAAGTTGTTCAGAGATGCTTACAGGAGTCGGTAAAAGCGAGCTGCTAACAAATGACCAAAAGCTTGGGCAGCGTTTTTGTATCCTTTTATCGTATGTTTAGATACCACAAAAAAGACAAGCAGAAAACAGTCGCCGACCTATTTGCCGCGTCTGAAACGCGTGTTCGGGAGGCTGTAGAACACCGAGAGCCGATCCAGAATTGTTTGCAGCGCTTTTCGGCTCATTTTGCAGACGGCTGAGTCGGCCCGTTTGATCCGCAAGTAGAGTTCTTGAAAGGAAACTGGCTTCAGCTGCAACAAGTGATCGAGGATCTCGGTCTGGGCGGGTTCACGCAGCCATGTGACCAGGGCTCGTTGCATGCCGTCCAGATCCTTAGGCAAATCCCCGTCGAAAACGAAAGATTCCTCGAGATTTTCGTCGGCGCTGTGATCGTCCTGTGCTCCATCGCTCGACTCTTCTTCAGCACTAAAAAAATATTCTTCAAATCCGCCAAGGCCTTTCTCCAGCCCTGGTGTAGTAGGGGAAGGAGACTAACCCTTTTCCCCCTAACCCTAATAAAGGCTTTATGGTGTCCTTTAGTAGCTCGATTTTTGTGTGGTGAGGGATAAAGGGTTCATTTGAATTGTTGACAACAATAAACACACATTTCCCAAAAATCATATAATAGGTTTTTATGAAATTTTTACATCTCAAAAAGCTGTAAAATGCTATTAAAATAGGCCTTATTTCACTATTCAGCGTCTACTAGCCCCGAGGAAAAATCTAGTACCCCGGCCATCGAACCTGAACCCAATTTCCAGCAACATTTCCTCAAGAGATCTCTTCCCCAAGCTCCGAAAACGATACCTATTTGACGACACGGCTTTCTGCGCCTCGTCCGGGTCAACGGTCGGGTGGGTGCTCTCGTAGATTTGCTGCAGAAGTTTCACGGCATTCTTCCGGCCCATGGGGCGCAGTCCATGCTTGGCCAGCTCGCCCTTCACCTGGTCGTCGCTCATTTTGGTGTATTCCGGTTCTGGGGTGACGCCTTGTGTCTTCAGCACTCGCACATGCGATCCGAAGGCCATTCGCGGGCGTTTACATTTTGGGGTGGAAAGGTTGTCGGACGAGGTGCTGGGCGCCAACTTGGGGATGCCCCTTGGGGAGAGCTGATCGAAGGAATCGTCCATCACCTGAAAAAAGTACAGATAATCGATTTTTTTTTTTATTAGAAAGTAAAACTACAATTAAATTGATTTTACACAATAAAAAAAGAATTAAAAAAATTATAAACTACAATCAGTACGCCCGATACGCGCGTATCGCCGCTACGTCTGACACCACTTTACGCAATTCCGTCATTTCCAATGGGGCGTACGGGCTCATTTTTATAATTTTTTGAATCTAGGGGCCTTGCAAATTGTTGAAAAGTTTTGGTAAGAATCTAAGTTTAGTGAGTAAATGTTGTTCAAACGGCCGGGATGAAGAGCATATCACCAGTCGCCTATAGCGTGGTCCCCTGCAGCTCTGAACTGCAAATACAATACCCTTTACCTCCTCTAAAGCAACGGCTACACCCCCGAATAAGATTCCTGCCTGCAAGAAGCCGACTTATAACCCAAAATCTATTGGACTTACTTCGATCTCAGGACTAACTCATAGGTTTTCGCGCTTTTCAGGAGTTATCTTTTCTTTGAATTGCCAATAACACTTCGAAACCTCTATCCCTTAGCAGTTAATTCTTACGGTTTTTTGTTTTGAACTTGATCTTCTTTAATTCCTGCGTTCTTCAGCTTACATTCTGGTTAAAAACCCGTTCATTTCAGTGGAATGCTTCGGGGACTCGCCTTCGCTGCCGTTGTTGCACTGGCCTCGGCCGCCACCTGCCAGTCGCCCCAGCACTCGGCCACCACCTTCTCCACCACCGACTCCTTCTTCCATTTCCAGACGTCTTTCATCGCCGAATTCTCCCTGCAATGCGCGAACAAAGTGAAGGTGAGCGGTTTTTGCAGTCTCGAAATCTTCTGATTAGTTCGGATACCATTACTTAGTACGAGCCTTCGCCATTCAACTAAAAATGGGAAAAGAGCAGCATATTGTACCCACGCGCTTTTATTTTCGCGTAATTTCTTCGTAAAGCTTTATCCAGACTGGTTCTACTATTTTTTGACATTATTTATGGCCGTTTTCAGGACGCCCCCTACTACGCGGTTGTTAACGGCGAGAAGACCTACCAAGTTGCCTATTCCGATGACACGAACAAGTACCAGGTATATTTTAGCAACAGGTTTTTTTATAATAGCTCATTCTAGGTCTCGTTCGCCCTCGACCACGACAAGGCCTCCGCCCAGACTTTCAACATCGACGTCTACGACGAGGACACCTTTGCCACCTACAGCAACGTAGGATTTTGCTTATCTAGCTCCTGATTTGATCTAATGGTTCTTGAGTGTTCGCAGGGGGAGGATCCAGAATGACCAAAATTTCGGTTTATTCAAACGCTTTGCTAGCTTTTTTTATAGCTTTCCTGCTTTTAATCGAGTTAAAACCTACTAAATAGAAAATATAAGCATTTTATATCTGTATTATCGAATTTTTTTCATTTTCATTTTTCTAGGCTCAACACAACGGACAAGATACCTCCAGCGCAAAGCCGCTCTTCACGATCCCGCTGTACCACCCGGTAAAGATTTATCGAGTTGAGGCGATGGGGTACTAAAAAAGGAATGAAATTCTGCCAAGGTTTGGGCTGAATCTAGTTCGGCGGTGGGGGGCTGCTTTTTGGGAGGTCTAGGGTCGCTTGCATCATCAAAAGGGCATCGGCCATGTTTGTGTTTACGACACAAGCCACAAAAGCCGAGGCGCCCATGCCCTCTCCCTAACAACGCTCTTTTCCAGGGCCTCAACAAGAAATACCCGATCAGCTGCGAGACGTTCGCCGTCCTCGCCGCCCTCGGAGGCATCTACTACGCCTTCTATCTCAAGTCCGAAGCCACCGCCTAGATTGTTGTCAAACTTCTCCACGAAAACACGGGCCCTGTTTTTTGTAATGCGTTCTAGTACACGAGTTGATTTTCTGTAATTTATTGCTGCCCATGCTACCTCCATGGGTTGGTTGTTTCTGTGATTTTGATGTGGTTTTATTGGTTCTGCAGTAAAATAAAGATATTCTAAAGTTACGGACCGTGGGGGTTCGGTAGCGTTTACCAACACGTACATGACCTACACGAGAAATTACTGTTCTAGATGAGTGACTAAAACCTTTTTTATTTCTATTTTATAATCTATCTAGGTTTTATTTATTTATTAAATACAGTAAATTGCCTCGATTTTATCTGTATAGACCGAATTAGTCCGTTGTTCTCTCTCGATCCTCTACGAATCTAAATTTTCCTTTCTATCACCTCTTTTATAGACATGTATAATCTATGCCGGTTAGGCCTTCGACCGACGATATCCTCCATTTTTGTGCGATGTAACAACCAGCTGACTCGACCAACACTTCAGGTAGCTTTTGTATTCAACTAGCCCCAAAATGAAATTAGCGTTTCGCCGCCGCGTCACAATGTCGGATCATCCACACAACACCAAGGATTAGTGACGATGCACAGAAGGTCGTAGATTTTCTCCTATGTCATGAGACGTTTACTTTAGAAGAAAAACTGGTCGATGATTATGTCAGAGGATGTGAAGCAGAAAAAGAAGGACAAGATTTCAACCGAAAAAGAGGTAGATCGTCCCAATAATTCTTTTCACCGAGTTTGCAGGAAAAAGTGCCCGAGGGCATGGTTGCAAAAGTGAAGTATTATCTGAAGCGTTACTGGTATATTGCGATCCCATGTCACATGTTCTGCTCCACGATGTATTTAGCCGGGCTATATGGCATTGTATATAGGTAACAACATATCTATTGGCCTTTTTAAAAGACCTTTTTAGTGGTGTTGATGTAGTGTCGTTATTACATACCCTGCACATGCCTGAATTGCTGATCGAAAAGGTGAAAAATACACCTCCGCAAGCCGGCGCTCTGGTCGTCGCATTGATTTTGTATAAGGTAAGTGTAGCACAGCGCCTTTACCTGTATGTACTTTTAGGTGGCAACACCGCTTCGATACATGACGACTCTCGGGCTAATTCAACTCGCTTTCATCGTCCTTAGGCGTATGGGCAAGTTGAGGACAGCTAAAGAGGTGGAATACAAGGTATTTTCAGGCCTCTTTGCTGCAAAACGTTTTTTGTTTAGGGACGTATCGGATATGAGAAAGCTGTCCGGAAGTACGGTCGCCGCGCCTACAGGTTCGTCAGTCTTCTCCTCGGTGATTTGTGTTTAGAAATCGGCACCTTGGCGTTCGGGAAATTGCGAAAGCGAATAGTGAGCAGACAGCACATACCAATGCTGTAAATGAGGCGGCTAAGGTCCGAGATTCACGCTGTCTTTTCATATTTGGTTTCAGGACATTCTTTCAAAAACGAAGAAGAACTGATGCACATAACGAACAATGCTGCTTGCTTTCTCAACGGGTTATTTATTTCCTTTTTTGTTTGTTCCTGCGACAGCGCATTCTTGTTGTATCTGATTTCAAGCTATGTCCATCCTTGGTTCCCCTCGTTTTAGAATGTCTATAATTAACTAGTGAATCCCGCTGTTAGACCTTTAGCCCAGAACCAATTCGGTGAATTTTCGACACTAATAAAGTCTTTACCAAAATTTTGCTTTAAAATGCACGCGCAGAAACGCAAGGATTTTTGACATACTATCGAGGCCCTTGAGTTACTTCATATTTAGTGGGTCCTTGATGCTGAATCTGGTGCGCAGAATGGCTACAAGTACATCAGCATCTCGGAAGAACTTCATTGCCATTTGTCAAATGACGAACGACAATAACCTGGATGCCAACTGGAAGGTGGCCAGCGACATGATCGAGCAGGCCAAAGCACGCAATTGCCAGGTCAGTGGTTTTTTGGAGTGCAGCCTCGCAACAACGCCAGAAATTTATTCGATTTCAAAATACATGAAGTGGTCGAAATTTTAAAGGATTGAAATGTGGTGGCGGATCGTCAGCAGATCTCCCGCGACATGACAAGCTTCGTCCCGGGGGTTTTGCCGCTTTCTTCTTTTCCGCTCTGGTCCTTGCCGGTGGCTCCAGGAGTCGTTACCCTCATGGCCGCCTCTTCGTCACGGCTATAGGTCTGAAGGGGAATGGCTATTTTTCGGGAAATTGACACCCACATGGAGCACAATCTTGAACTGGCCCTCAACCTTGAAGCCTTTCGGGAAACACTCCTTTGCCGTTGTCTGCGCGTCGACGTGCACGTATTCGACCACCAGTTTGTCGTCCTTTGCTGGGCCTATAGAACTTTCCTTCATTAGCTGAATCTCCCCGAATTGATACCGCCGGGCATCCGGTTGATGACGAGTAGCTGGGCCTGCCCTTGGTCGACGAACATGTAGACGGGATCGACGCGGTACATCTTGTTGTTCGAGCTGCGGATCTGGGTGTCGGGCGCTTATGACGCGCGGGCGGAGGTGTTTACCTTGACAGCCACTTTCTTCTCCCCCGTATTCACCAACATCATCTCCTGTCGGCCGCCGTTTTCCGAGAAGTCCGCTCGCTAGAAAAGGGGTTCAGAAATTTGACTATGCATTAAAACGGCACCTTAACGGGAATCAAAAACAAACATGTCGATCGGCTGACAAGGCCAGCTCCTTCTTGATGGTGCGCTGCTTGCTCTTCTCCTTCGACGGCTCTTTTGGGGTAGTTTCCTTTTCTTTGGGATTCTCTGTGGAGACCATTTCGTCGTTTCTGACCTGTAAAACCTTTTCACCAAAAAAATGACGTAAAGTACATACCTGACGAATTTCCTCCTGTGAAGCAGGGAGGAGAACAAGTATGAAAATCAGCAATCCGCTTCCACGGGCTCAATTTATAGGATAAAATTTATGTTAATAGCCGGAGCCTTCGAATTAATTATCTTGTGAATTTATGCAAATTTCAGATGGTCTTCTTCCCAGAGTGCGTGGACTATGTGGGCCGGACGCGGGAAGAAGAGGTAAATGCCGCAAGTGTACGCAACTAAGCTGCAGTTTTTAGGGGCGACATGTTAGCGAATCAGTAACGCTGAATTTTTGGTTTGATAACTTTATTCAGGTATCATTGGCAATTGAAGAGGGCGGAGAGTTCATCAACCGGTTCCGAGATTTGGCGAAAAAGCATGGGATCTGGATCAGTCTCGGAGGGTTCCATCGCAAGGTACGGGATTTTTTACAAAATCATTATTTTTTTACAGGACGGTGACAAATTGCCCTTCAATACGCACTTGGTGCTGAATGGAAATGGGGAGACGGCAGCAAGGTGAGGTTGTTCTAATGATAATTCTGTTTTCTTTTTAGGTACGACAAACTGCACCTGTTCGATTTGGAGATCCCGGGGAAGGTGCGGTTGATGGAGAGTGAATTTAGTAAGGCCGGCACTGGGGTGAGTGGCTTGCTGAAGCGATTAAAAAAAATTACGCTTTAGATGGTCGCTCCAGTCGAAACGCCCGTCGGGAAGTTGGGGCTCTCAATTTGCTACGATATTCGTTTCCCGGAGCTCTCGATTTGGAACCGAAAACGAGGAGCTCAGGTAAGGAGCTTATTATTTTTATTATCGAATCTTTAGATTCTCTCCTTTCCGTCGGCTTTTACGGTGAACACGGGTTTGGCGCATTGGGAGGTAATTTTTTTTGCCGATAGTGACGCTGATGCACATTTGGTTTCGAGTGATTGAGCAGTTTTGATTTTTAAAATCACAACTAACGCTCCAGTACCATTTTTTTTAACCAAGTAAGCCTATTATTTTTAGACATTACTTCGCGCACGAGCCATCGAAAATCAATGCTACGTGGTGGCTGCAGCTCAGACGGGAAAGCACAACGACAAACGCTCGAGCTACGGCCATGCAATGGTCGTCGACCCGTGGGGCGCCATCATCGCCCAGTGCAGCGAGAGAGTGGGCATGGCGTTCGCCGAAATCGACCTCGACTATGTCGACGAATTGCGCCAGATGCAGCCCGTGTACTCGCATCGAAGAGGCGAACTGTATTCACTACACGCCAACGAGACTCGAGGTGGCTAGTTATTTTTTTTTTGTGAAATTATGAATGTTTAGCTACCAACGAGGAGCTGAAGTTTGCCCAGCATCCGATCAAGCCGGATTTCATCTTTGCCCGCTCCGCGCATTCGTTCGCATTTGTTAACCTGAAGCCGGTGTTGGACGGGCGTAAGTTTTTGGTGCGGTTGGTTTTCGATTACCGCTAGGCTTGCTTAACTTGCTAAACTTAACTTTAAGTCAACTGGAATCAAGAAGCTTAACATGGCTTAAGTGAAGCTTGCTTGACTCTGATAAAGATAAAGATGATAAAGATCTTTTGAGATTGTTTTTGTACATGAAGCTCACAACTTTATTAACCTGACTGTTTTTCAGGTCTGCAAAATTACATTTTAATCGAGAAAAAAAAATGCTGCGCTAGATAGGTTAGTTCCGATTCGGAAATTCCGTGGACGCTGCAAACGCCTTTTTAGCTTAGGACCTACATAACCTTGAGAATTTAAAAAAAGTACTTTGGCTCGTAGTTAACGTACAGACCAGCCAGCCCATTTGCACTAACAAGTGTAAAACCAAGTGTTTGCCTTGGAGTTACGCTTTTCTTTATAGATGTTCTCGTGTCGCCGGTGAGGGTTGCCAAGCGGCTAAACGATTTGACGGATGAAGAGACGGCTGATTTGTTTGTGCTTTGCAAGAAGGTATTATTGAGGTATCTACGGTTGACGACTCATTCAGGTCCAACGAATGCTGGAATCGCATCACAACGTTGACTCGTCTACCGTATGCGTACAGGATGGTCCGAAATCCGGGCAAACTGTTGAGGTTTGTATTTGGTGTTTGGTGTATGTTGTTATCTTTAGATAAAACGCGAGCAAAATTATATTGATTGAAATTAAATTAAAATCGATTAAATTCAATGAAATTCTCCATTTTTAGCACGTCCACGTCCATATTCTGCCCCGGAAAGCCGGTGACTTTGGTGGGTCAAGCGACACGGTGTACCAGGAGCTGTCCAAACATGATGTGTAAGCCGCATCTTCCTATATCGATTGTCTTTTGTTTAGCGACGATCGAAAACCACGGACTGACGAGCAGATGGCCACCGAGGCTGCGACGTATCGCGAGAAACTTAAAAATTGCTAGGTGTCGTTCTTCCCGTCTGTGAACGGTTGTGCGCATGGCTTATGTAGATCGGGTCAACTGTATAAATATAACCAATTAGATAAAAAGAGCAGGGTTGAAATTGGGGACAGATATCAATCACTTTCGCCGCACCGCGACACCCAATGCGGTATGTCGCTTCGCGGCAATATCCATGGTTGTGGCTGATGCTTCAATTTAATTTTTTTAATTCAATTTAACATCTTACCAGATACTAATTTATGGATGTAAAGTAACGTAGCGTATTGAGGCTGACTGGCTGCGACCATTGAGGAGGGCTAGCAGAGACCATTGAGGAAGGCTAGCCTTCTTCTCGGTCAGCGGCAACTCTCGAAATGAGTTAGTTTAAAGGGCTGCCCGGCATGTGTCGATCCCCCCATCAACAAATTGGCAATAGCCAAAGGGCAGAGAGCCCAGGGGAGGCCGTTTTCTTTCCAGCGTAACCGTTGTGGCGTGGCTCCTTTAAACGTTTCATAATGTGCTTTTTTTTGAATAACGATCCTTTTTGACAACCCTTTATTCAACATATATAATTCAAGAGGTGGGGGGTAGAAGGCTACACGTGTCGGCGATTGGAATGTGGCGGAATTGAAGCGGCTTGATGGGGATGCCTTTAGCGGCTCTTCGGCTTCGTGAAGAGCGGCTTGACCTTTTTGTTCATCTTCTCGGCAACCGCCGCCACCGAGGCGAACTGAAATATTGGATTTCAATAAATTTAACTATAACAGAACAAGTCGAAATCACAAAATTAAACTCAAGAACGACACCAACCTGGGCGATAACCTCCTTCCATCCAGTAAAATAGTCATCCACCATATAGGGTAACTTGTTCGCCTTGCTCCACTCCTTCACCAGCGGCATCACCTTCAACAAGTACACTTTAAGATGCTGAACTCGCCGCGAACCTTGGACAAGTTGTGGCGGGGCATCGTCGGGAACAAGTGGTGCTCGATCTGATAGTTCAGACCGCCCCACAGCCAGTCGATGAACCTCGACGGCTTCATGTTGCGCGTGGTGTACAGCTGCAGACAGGGGTACACCTCCAGGATGGACGAGTCGTCTGAAGCTATGCTCCAGAATGGGGTGCTCCGAACTTACAGGCATATTTGTCGACCGAATAGTGATTGTAGGTGACGACGTGAGCGAGGAGGAAACCGCCGAGCAGCTGCGACACGACGAAGAACATGACGCGGGTGTGGAGGTCGGGCAAAAAGTACAGCTGAAGGCATACCCAGGCCCAGTGCAGCGACAGGGTCACCTGGAGATGTTCTAAGGGGACGTGACACGGGGGCAAACCTGTTCGTACAAAGCGCGCTCGCGGTAGCACGTGTAGAAGGAGGTGTGCATCGTGGAGACGAACGTGATGGATTGGACCAGCCAGGAGATGCGCAAGAACGGCAACGCGAACGTCCAGTACATGTGTTGGTAGGGGAGGACGGAGAGGAGCCACGAGTCGGCCACCTGAACGGCTTGAGGATGTTGGAACCGATTTCGGTCTTTCTTTATCTCTCTCTCTCTCTGTCTGTCTCTCTCTCTCGCCCACCTTCAGATGTCGTGCCACCGTCGCAAAATAGGGCATCAGATCCAGATCCCCATCACGGCCGACGACATTTGTGGCGGCGTGGTGGACGTTGTGCTGCTCCTTCCACCCGGAAGCCGAGAATCCCTGCAGGAAGTCGCCCACCAGGTAGCTGAACTGCTTGCTGTACACACTTCCCCAGAATTTTCCTTTTTATCTTCTTTAATTTAATTTTATCTTTATCCTTTTTATATTCTTTATTTTTTCTTTTATTCTTTTTTTAAACTCGTCGAGTAGGAGGAATCAAAAACCCTTACAAAATGTATCAAAATTTTGCTCTTTTTTGGATATTTTCAAACATTTTTCAACAAGCCAAAATATTATAAATGCTACAAAAATTGTTTCTATTCGGTTATCGGGCCGGGCGAGATTACTAGGGAAATCGGGCCTTTTTGCCCACGCCTAACCCTTTCATGCGACGAACCTGTACAAGTCGTTGTGCCAGCGGTTCTTGAACACCTGATGATGAGTGGCCTCGTGGACGAGCCAGCCGAGCTGCTGCCATGCGATGCCTAAACTCCTCTGATTCCGATTTTCCTTCTCGACCCACCCATCAGAATGGCGGAGACGATGTAGTAGCCGTGGTACTGCAGGTAGAACGCGCCCAAGATGGTGAAGATCGTCTCCAGCGTCTGTAGCAGCATAAAGATATGTGAACCAAGGAATTCACCAACCTTTCGCACGTAAAAGAGTAGGTTCGCCTCCATCAGCCCGCGCTTCTTCACGTCGAGGCGCAACTTGTCAAAGTTCTTGGTCAACTGGTCGCCCTCCTCCTTCGACAGATGGAACTCGGACATGTTGATGTCGTCGTATCCGGGGATTTGTTGCTCCTAAGTTTCTATGTTAGCGATGGGCAAATCAAAATTGCCTTGATCTTCTTGATCTCGACATTCTGGTCGGTGTTCTCCTTCAGCTCGGCCAGCCACTTGTAGGCCCAGGTCGAGCCCGAATGGAACGTGTGGAATACCGTGGATGCCTGTAAAAAGGGAATAGTATTGGAATTCTTAAAAAAACCGTTTTTGTAGTGCTATTATCTGATCCTCTCATTCTAGGATTCCGATTTCTTCTTTCATATATCTCTTTTTCTCTTTATCTCTTTTTATTTCATTTTTTCCTCGCGCAATCCAAATTTCATAAAGCCATGCGAAACATGTTTTGGCCGCTAATGACCGGAAATGAAAAAAATCGAGCCTGAAATAGCTTTGAAAACCCGGATCAAAACATAAACACCGGGGAAAGACCGAGTTTTGCCCACTTATCCCAACCGGTTCCAACCGCCCGTCGGGACGTGAGTGGCCCAAAAAAGGGAATTCCACAACTGCCTAGTAACGTAATAATGATTCTTTTAATCGCGTTTTTGGTAACATTTAACTATATACACTGGTCCCCATAATTATGGAGCCACCCACAATTTTCCGAAAATCTCAATTTCTGGCGGCTTTCGTGAAACACTTTCTATTAGTGAAAGAAGCCGTATACCATCACAACTTTACACAACAAGTCCGTTTTTTGATTCGAGGACACAAAAAATTTTAACGAAAACTTTAGCCTAAAACGCTCTTTGGAAAAAACGCATAATTATGGAGCCACCCTGGAATTTTTTTATAAAATGTGGGAAAATCGATAACAAATTGCTGAAAACAATTTCAACAATCGGTGGCGACTTCATTGCCTTGTACCAACTGGAAACGACGGCTGTCGTTCCTCAGATAGAGGCTAGCGAGCAGCTTCTGGTCGACTTGATGCCACGCGTCGATTATGGAGTTCTTGGGCTCGCCTACGTTCCGATAAGACTTTTTGCATGGTAAAATCTTGCGTACCATGGACCCCCAAACCTTTTGTATGATGTTCAGATCAGAGGAACAGGTTGGCCAGGCCAGAAGATCGATTCTTCGGCTTCGACACCAGTCCTGAGTTCGAATGGGGACCCTCATCTTGCAGGAAAAGGAACCTTCGGTTCCGATTTCTTCGCCAAAATGGCAGAATTCCTCTTCGCAACACTTGTCGGTAGTTGACTCGGTTGATTTTATGAGAGACGAAGCACAATTTGACTCGTCCTTCTGAAGAAACTCTGCCCACATCACGACGCTGCCGCCTCGAAAGTTGCGTGGGGCAAATCAGAGCTGGTTTTTTGGCAAATCGCGCCAACAGTGGCTCACACGTCTGGGCCATCACATGTAAACTTCCGCTCGTCGCGAAAAAATTAATTGAAGAGGTTTTGAGCCGTTTAAAGAGCCCCTTAATTTTCACCAGTGTATCCGCTGATTTCGTCGAGCAAATGCGACACGATTTCGGCGATGGCATTGGTCGAGCATCGGAGCTTTCTTCATGTTCCTCCAGTTGATGAAGTTGTTCTCCGAAAACACGCTTCGGATGGTTTCTGTCGAGCAATCCAGCCTCAAATCGGCTTTACTTAGGGTAGCTGCCGTGATTTGCTGGATGCCTTTCGAATTGTGAGTCGGTTTTGACGATCGTAAAAGAGTAGGGGATGGCCTGGGTGTACTGCTTTTCCATATCCAGTTGGATCTTTGGCGCAATTGTCGATAATTTTGTGGCTTCCGCCCATACCCGGAGCGATTTGTCGATGTGACAGGCCCTGTGTCAATTTCGCATCAATTTGACCCTTTTCAACGTCAGATAGGGCTTTCCCGCGTGCCATCCAGTAAAACAACAATCCATTAATTACGTTAAAAAAGAAAACAGTGTGGTTGTGTGGATAACGAAAAAAGAAGAAGTGAAGAACTCGAGTGGCTCCATAATTATGGGTTTTTTTCAAAGAGCGTTTTAGGCGAAAGTTTTCGTAAAAATTTTTTGTGTCCACGAATCAATGTCGTGCAAAGTTGTGATGATATACGGCTTCTTTCACTAATAGAAAGTGTTTCACGAAAGCCGCCAGAAATTGAGATTTTCGGAAAATTGTGGGTGGCTCCATAATTATGGGGACCAGTGTATATTGAAATGGTAAAACCCTTTTAAAACGTTAGGCAAGCTTTCAATATTC